TCTTCCTCCTCCTCCCCTCCTCCTTCTCTTCCTCCTCCTCCTCCCTCCCTTCCCCCCTCCCCTCCTCCCTACCTCTCTCGCGCCGTCTCCTCCGCTCTGCCTCCCCCTCCTGCTGCATCTGCCCCTTCCGACTGCCAAAGTAAATCCCCCAAGGGGGCCAACGTAGAGATCCCAGAGCTCACCAAAGCAGACGCTCCCAAACAGACCAACGTAGAGATGTCCTAGCAGGCCCACATAACATAGACCCCAATCCTTACAAGCATAGCTACAGACGAGGCCCCAAAGGTGGCCAGTGTAAAAATCCCAACGGATACGATGCATCACCGACATTGTTGCGGACATGTCAAACAATACAAACATGGGCACGTCGACCTGTGATGGCAGAGAAGGACAGGAGAAGAGAAGGAGGAGGGGCACGGAGACCATCGAGGATGAGCGAGCAGGTCAAATGAGGAGGGGGGAGGAGGAGGAGCGGCAGCCCAGTCCCTGCACCCAGCAGCAGCCCAGCCCCGACACCCAGCGGGAGGAGGAGGAGGAGGAGGAGTGGAGACAGAAGAGTCGAGGAACAGGAAGGGAGGAGGATCGGAATGACGTCGCGAAGGGCATGTCAGTGCGGACGAGAGAACCACGCCCAAAGTTAAACCTTGCCAAGGGCCACGCCCACTAGCGGAAGTAACACGCTACCAACGCGTGGTTCCCACTCCCATCTCCGTAGCCATTTGAGCTCAAGCTTTGCAGCTGGAGATCCAAGAGAATTCACCATGGCTGTGATCAGCGATGGTTTCGCGCTGACTGCTATGGAGTCGGCCCCCGACCCGACGTCGTGGATGCCATTGACTTGCGTTTCCGAGGGCCGCATGTATGTAGTCCTAGACAAGACAGACAAAATGTTCATCATATTCATGAACAGCAAGTTCGACGTCGTCGACGCACTGACATTGAAACGGAACGAGGCAGTTGACAAAATGATGAACACCCTTGAAGAGAAATCGTCAGATGACTACACCGACGTGTCTGTTGCAGCTGGTGGGAGTGGCGACCCAATGCCACCAGCCGCGAAACGCCCCAGGAGAGAGTTGTTCGATGAGATCCCGTCTTCGACCACAGTTTCGATTCAGTGCGCTCAGGGCCTGAAGTTCGCCAGCGTCATGACGAGCGCGCAGCGCAGGAACAGGCTGTGGATCGAGCTCTCGACAGAAAACATCAACTTGCTTCGCTGCCAGCTGGCGGCGTCGCCTGCTGTCGGAGCGCGCGAGAGGCCAGAAGTGAACCAGCCTCACGTCTTTTGGGTCCCGAACCGCAAGTCCTTGCGCACTCGCTGGCACTGCCAGGAGACGCAGAAGTGGGTGGTCAAGAGCGAGGCAGTGAATCCCAATCAGAGAAACTCCCAGGCTCATATCGACCAGGTCGCTGCCGACCTCGAGGCGAAGTACCAGGCCAACCACTCAGAGCCTCCTACGGGTCTGAGGCGCGGAGCGTCGGGTGGATCGTGACGCTCTTCGAGGTAAAGGGCGTGTTCTGCAGAATTCGCACTCTTCCTTGCAACTGCTTTAGGTGCTCTGTGCGAGTCTAGGCCAATTGCAGCTGCTCAAACGTTCCAGGGACTTCGATTTGGGAAGTCCTGTGTGTAATATGCAAGACGTTCGAGCGCCCTAGAACAGGCTGCTGGGGAACGACAGCTCACGAGAAAACATGCCAGAGATCCACTATGCGTGGCTAAGATGGAGCAGACGTAGCAACATATCATCGTAAGCCAGCCTTGTTTGGACGCCCTCAGGGGGTCACGGAGCTCCGGAGTTCCGGTGCCCCACCTTCCCAGGGGAACCTGGAACGCCCGTTCCACCTTCCCAGGGGAACCTCGAACACAGAGGCTCTACAAATCAATATGAAAGAGAAGAGGTCAGTGTTCCAAGTTCCCCTGGGAAGGTGGAACGGATGTTCGAGGTTCCCCTGGGAAGGTGGAACATCGCCACCCTCCTCGCCACCACGCGGCGGATTGCGAGTGTCTCGTGCGAGCGCTGGGCAAAAGACGGTCCAAGATAGCTCCAAGACGGCTCCGAATGAGCAGCGGATGCAACCCGAGAGGTCCCAAGGGATCTCCAACGTGAGCTACATGCACCACGGTGGTCATGGTGTCATCTTGCTCCCTCAGTGCACTCTTAGGTCCCCCTGGTGTCCTCTCGGATGTATCCTCTGGTGTCTTGGGCCTCTCTTGGAAGAAGGCTTTGACAGTAACGGGGCCTTCGCGCTCCCAGCCTTCATCCCCACTCATAGCCATTTCCTGCTCAAACTGGTTCTGTCTGTCTTCTGATCTAGGCCGAGTCGCAGTCATGGGCGATGCCGCTGGAGATCAGATCGCACCCGTGCTGCGGCAGCGCGTCTCGTTCATGCAGGCACAGATCACCTGCGGCATGAGCAAGGATACTCTGATGGACAACCAAACCATACAGGTGATTGGTATCATTCAGGGGACTCCTGGTCTGTCCATGGAGTGCAGTATCAAGATCACTAATGAAATTCTGGCTGGGCCATGGTCTGAGACCAACAGGGGCGCTATGAGCGCTGCCATTACAGACGTCGTGACTCGGCAGACGTCGAAAAAAAGGCAAAGCGCGACACGCAGGACTTGGACTCCATCCTTTACTGGTTCACTGCGAGGGAGTGGAACGTGTTACAAGGTCCCAACTGGGGCATCGAGGCCAAGATCCAGTGCATCGCCATGCGACTCTTCAAAGCTGGGGTCACATGCCCTTCGAACAGATTGTGCAAGCAAGCTGGTGATTTGGCTATGGTCTGCAGCTACCTCCGTGATATGTCAATCATGAGCGACGCCAGTGAGAAGCAGCGAGTCTGTCGTAAGATTCGTGATACAATCAAGACCTACGACAATACCATGGTCCCATGGCCGTTTCAACACATATCTGCCTACCCAGCAGGGCCAGAGCATTTGCAGGAGGCAACGCGCAAGCACGTCTACGGCACCGACCCTCCTGTACCGCCTCCTCTCGACACTGACCTGGTTCAGCGTTGCACCGCCGCTGTCCCTGGAATGGCGTGCAGAGACAACCACTTCGACTTGAAGTCGGGGGGCAAGAGCTCGCATGGAGCAGGCGACAACCAAGGGCTAGCCGCAGCGATCGACAGGCTCAACGCGAACCTTCATACGCAGAAGGCGCCTGGGCTTCACCCTGGACATCCCCATGCGTCTGCCCATGGCGCCAATGGAGGTCTTGCGGCGCTGACCTATCCGATCTCCAGTGGCCAAAGTTCGGCACCGCCGCCCTTGGCTGTCCCTGCGTGGCCTCAGCCTGCGCTTCATCCTCACGCGTCTCTTCCTGGACACAGCGCTGCAGCCTTTGGCGGGCGTGCTGCCAGCGGTCTTCTCGCTGGAGGAGCCCCTGCAATTAGTGATCAGCCCGCAGTTCTTCCAGGGGGTGCTCATGCCGATCTCGGCCCTGGCTTGCCGCTGCCGAAGTGCGTGGCCCCTATGCAAGCTCCTAGCCCTTCGCCTCTGAGCAGCAGTGGTGGCAATCCAGATGCAGGCGCCGTGCCTTTCGAAAGTCCTGGTGATTCTGATGAGGCTCTGGGTCGTCTGACTCACGAGGCAGCTGACGAAGCTTCGGGAGCTCAGGACGCTATCGCTGCTATGGCTGGCGGCGGGACGCCAGCGAAGTCGGCCATGAAGCCGATGAAGTCGGCCACGAAGGCCGCCGTCATGAAGCGCACTGCGGCCTCCGCAGCGACCACGGTCACGAAGCGCCCTGCGGCCTCAGCGGCCAAGGCCGCGGTTCTCAGGCGCCCTGCCGCCGCCCCTCCAGGACTGCGGGCCCACGCATTCGTTCACATCCCTCGGACCCCATCCTCGATATATTAACCTCCTCTGCAAAAGAGCTGAGGCCCCTGTTCCGTGGGCCCTTGGTGTACCTGCGTGCGCTTACTTTGAAGGCGCAGCAGCGTCGAATGTGAACTCGCCGTTGAAACAAACACGCTGGGGAGTGTCTTCGGCGCCCTGCAGGTGGCAGCAGGCAGATATATCCTAGCAAGCGTTGTTACAACGGCGACGTTGGATTTGAAGCTGCGACGTTCGCCATCCCCCCCCCCCCCCCCCCCCACACCCCCACGCACCCAAGGGGTCAAGTGCAGGCGGTTCTACAAGGACGTCCTGGCGCCTGACTTCATCGCGGGATGCTCGTACAATAACTCTCTGTATCGTGTGCATTCCCACGCCAGGAAGGGTGTCAAAGCAGAGGGCATGGCCGACGCTGAGATTCGATGCGTCGGTCTTGAGGCATACGCTGCTTCCAGGGTTCTGTATCATTCGATCCCTAGGTGATCGACCGCTATAGGCTGACTTCTGAATGTTGTGCGGGCGCTGGCTAGCGACAGCGTGTTAAGTAGTGTCCCTGGGCTGTTTCTCATGTGCTCGTGAGATCGGGGTTCGGCCCGGCACTCCCGCATTGCAGGAGCGCATTCTTCGGGGGACCTGAAAAAACAACAATCGAACATCTGCCCCTCCCAATCCAAGCCCACAACACGCTTCCTCCCAGCGCGCGCAATAACACGAGCCACCGAGCAGCACTCGAGACTTGCATCAGTAACAATACAGTAAGCACAACAGCAGTACAATGGGCCGAAGGAAGGTCGAAGCCTCTGCATGAGCCTGGCTACAAGGAGGGGGGAAGAGGAGGAGGAGGGGGAAGGGTGGGCGAGGAGAGCATGGGTGATGAGGAGCAGGAAGAGGAGGAGAGGAGGAGGAAAAGGAGGAGGAGGAGGAGGAGGGGGAAGAGAAGGAGGAGGAGGAGGAGGACAATGAGGAGGAGGAGGCGGAGGAGGAGGATGAGGAGGAACAATCCATTTTTTCTGACTCAACACTGTCCCGAAATAGGGTGAGGAGGAGGAGGAGGACCAAGACACTGTTTGTGACTCAGCACTGTCCTGGCGTGCGCATGTCTCCCCGTAGCTATCGGTCTCGAGATGACAACGCTTTCGGCTGAGCCTCCGCGCAAGAAGCTGCGACTATCAGACTTTGGTCGCAGCGTTGCATGATGTATTGCGCCTCGTGAGCGAGGAGGATCTGCCTGAATACATCTCGTGCTCATCCATTGCTCGTGACAGGCAGGTGCCTGCTTATCAGCCGACTTCTTTCGGACCCCCCCCCCCAAACCAGTGCATCCAAGTTGGAGGCATCAAGGTTTGGATCCAACATCCTTTCGGGTATCTAGAGGCAGCAGCTCGGCGCTCGTCGGAATTCAGAAGCTTTCTGGTGTCTACACTGGACCGCTGCAACAATAATGTATGCTTGGTGTGGTACTGCGATGAAATAGTTCCAGGGAATCCTTTAGCCCACTCCAACCTCAGAAAAACCGAGTGCGGCTATTGGACTATCAAGGAGTATGACTTTCCAGCGTTATCTTCGGAGTACAACTGGCACACGCTGTATTGCTTGAGGTCGTCAGAGGTCAATGGGGCCCCAAAGCTGCAAGCCCACCGCCACGCAACAGTGTCGTGCTTGTTTGTGTGCATGATGTGGGGGCGGGGGAGTGTGATATGCACATTGGCTTGGGCATTGTGGCGTTGGCGGTCCCAATCGCTCTAGGTAGCGAAGCTCCCTGGCAAGCTTTCCCAACTGACCAAACATGCCCTCGAGACTCTTTCCGGCCAACCTGATTCGCTGATCGATCTTCGCCAAGGCGTCACATTGAATCTCGGAGGTGGGGTGGTGCGAACCGTGTTTGGCAGACTCGGTATCTGCACGCATGGCGAGAGGGCGTTCAAGTTCGCCTTCGAATGCAAAGGAGCTTCTGGTCACCATGTGTGCCCGTTGTGTCGGAATTGTGTGGCGTGGTGCTCGTCATGGCTACGCGATGACGGCGAGCACTGGCTGGTCCCATCCTCAGCGACGTCGCTGGCCTCATTCGAGCAACATTAGGATTCGGAGTTGAGGGCCATCCAGAGAAAGCTGGCACATGACGCACCCCTGATTTCAGCGACGCAGCTTGGGCAACTAGAGACACAGCTCGGCTTCGACTATAGTCCAGAGAGCGCACTGCTCGACCTAGGTCTCAACTTGCAGTTGGCATCGAGCTGGATGTGGGACTGGATGCACACGTATCTGGTTGGGGGGATAGCGGTGAAGGAGATGGGGTGCTTATCCGAGCGGTTGCTAAAACATGTGACTGCATCCGACATCAATTCATACTTCCTTGAATGGAGATGGCCGTCTGCATACGCTAGTGGGAAACAACTCTTCATATCTGGAACTCCTGGTGGGTCGGTTTCAGAATACTTGTCAGGCATCCCCGTCCTGGAAGCATACCTTTTGGAGAACATTTTTCCCCTGGGGGTGTTGGGTGCCGAGATTGCCAGTTTCATTCGGTTGACGAAGGTGATGGATGCTTTGAGTTGTGCAAACTCTGGTAATGTGCACCACTCACTGTTGCGTCGGCTTGTTTCGGCTCACTTAGGCGCCCAGCAAACCGCACGCGTGCTGGAGTGATGGATCCCTAAGTCGCATTTTGCCGTTCACTTACCAAAGCACTTAGAGGATTTCAAGCTTCTGCTCAGCACATTCCTTATGGAGCGTAAGCATAAGACCTGCAAGAGGATTGCAGGCGACCATTATAACACGAAGTCGTTTGAGAAGGGTATCATGGAGCCGATAACTTGCCAATCATTGTATGACCTGCAGATCCCTCGAACTGGTGTGTTTCTCACTGCCCAAAAGAAACCCTCCCAACGGCTTCTTGCAGCTCTCTCTGAATTTGTTTCAGTGCCAGTGGGCGTGGACTTGTTCACATCGAAGGGCGTCTCAGTTGAGTCAAGAGTAGTGCAATTGAATGATGCAGTCATGTTCCAATCGAATGGGTCAGTCCACATGGGCAGGGTAAACTTCCATGTGCAAATTGGTTCGGAGTGCGTCACTTGCATTTCTCTTTGGACGATAATTCAAAAGAAGACCCAATGTACCACGTGCGCAGACACGGGTGAGACCATTTTGATCGCTTCTAGCCAGATTCTAGAGACGTGCGTGTATAGGATTTTGGAAGCTAGTGGTGCAATGTGCGTCTTGCTGCCACCGAAATTTAGAGTTGCTTCCATGTAGATGCGAATCGCAACGTTGATGATATTTTCTGTGCAAGCGCAGCCTTGAGCCTCACTGAAGAGGGACCTTGAGAAAAACGGCGCCTCGAGGAGAAGGGAGGAGGAGGGAAGAAGGAAGACGACGGGGGGGAGGACGACGGGGACGAGGGAGGAGGAGGAGGAAGAGGAAGAGGAGGAGGAGGAGGAGGAGGAGGAGGAGGAGCGAAACAAAGCTCAGATTTGCGAGGATGTCTCAGGGAAGCTGTTGTTGACCTACTTCGATTTTGGATAGGTATCTTCGGGGCTTTCCTGGATCGTACCTCCCCATCCAGGATCGTACCTCCCCATCCAGAAAGGATGCGCACTGGTGATCTCAGTACCCATGCAGCGGCCGCCGGATGGGTATCTGCAGGGAGCCTTCCTACACCCATCCAACGCCGGATGGGTTTGCCGCTGGATGGGTATTTGCGCGTGCCCCTCTCACGGCTGCCGCCGGATGGGTATCTGCCGGGGGCCGTCTGGGCACCCCTACCGATCCAGTGGCCGCCGGATGGGTATCTGCCGGGAGCCAGCTGGGTACCCCTACCCATCCACCGGCCGCCGGATGGGTATCTGCCGGGAGACGCCTAGGCACCCGTACCCAGCCAGCGGCCGCCGGATGGGTATCTGCCGGGAGACGGCCTGGTACCCCTACCTATCCAGCGGCCGCCGGATGGGTATTTGCTGGGGGCCGGCTGGGTACCCATACCCATCCAGCGGCCGCCGGATGGGTATCTGCCGGGAGCTGGCTGGGTAACCCCCCAGCGGCCACCGGATGGGTATCTGCCGGGAGCCGGCTGGGTACCCATACCCATCCAGCGGCTGCTGGATGGGTATCTGCCGGGAGACGGCCTGGTACCCCGATCTATACAGCGGCCGCCGGATGGATATCTGCCAGACGCCGGCTGGGTACTCCTACCCATCCAGCGGCCGCCGGATGGGTATCAGCCGGGAGCTGGCTGGGTAACCCGACCCATCCAGCGGCCGCCGCCGCCGCCTCCGCCGCCGCCGCCGCCGACGACGACGACGACGATGACGACGACGGCGACGACGAGGGCGGCCACGACGAAGGCGACGCGGGGCCAGGTAAAGGCCCTCTTCCGGAGGGCGAAAATGGTCAAACACCTCCCGTCGTGTTTTTTTGTCACGGCGCGGGGGGGGGCTTGGTTTTCGGGCAATTAGTTTCCTCGGGCCTCTGGCGGCCTTTTTCGGACGATTTCCGGGCACATCCACGACGCCGCCCTCGGCGAGGCGCGGCTGCCAGAGAGCACCCCGCGGCGAGAAGACCTCCAGGAACGTCGTCGTCGTCGTCGTCGTCGTCGTCGTCGGTGATCGTCGTCGTCGTCGTCGTCGTCGTCGTCGTCGTCGTCGTCGTCGTCGTCGTCGTCGTTTTTTCCGGAGGGCGAAAACGGTCAAACACTTCCGGGAAACCTTCTCCCACTCAAAATGGGCCCCCGACGCCTCCCGGGGTCGAAACGCGCGAGTTTTTCGAGCCACGTCCAGCCGTGGCGACGAGGAGGGCCCCCGGAAGGCCAAAAAGCCCCGAACTTCGATCCTCGAGGTTGGAAGTCCGAACCCCGAACCACCCACTCGGTTGGTATTCGGGCCATAGCTCGGGCATTCGGCGGCGTTTCGGGACGATTCTGGCACCCCCTGGGGGCAGTTTTTCATTCCGGATGCGCTTCTGACAGTCCCGGGGCTCGAAAACGGCCCCTGGATCCCTGGATCCCGAGATCGAGGAAGAACCTCCGAAGATCGAAGATCGACGAAAAGTCGTCGAAACATATTCCTGGCCGATGACATCCTCTTGGCCGACGACGACGACGACGACGACCACGGCGACGACGACGACTACGACGACGTCGATGACGACGACGTTTTTCTTTGCTCCGGGGCCATCGGATAACGATTTGGGACGAGAAGCCGGCCCTGTGGAAGGTGAAAACATTGCCCTCCAAACCTATGTGCCCATCAGGGCCGTTGAAAACCTCGACTGGAAGTTCAGTTTCAAAGTCGTGGTGCAATTCTTAAGCCCTCATGGAAGGTCAGGGAGCTCTGGGGTCCGCCGATTGGAAAGATCAATCCGCTGGTAGTCTGGGTCACTCCGCCCGTCTCCTGGATGCGGCAAGAGTGGAGCCAGGGGTGCGCTTCGGGGCGGAGAGCGCCATTCGCGGGGACTGGAGCTGGAAGAGGCCGGGGGAAAGGCAGGAGATATGGGTAGGGAGGGGGGGGACCAGGGAAGGGCGGGGAGGGAAGGGGGAGGCCAATGGATGGAGTGATGTGTTCTGGCCACCTCGCGAGAAGCCCGACGCGGGAGGGAGGGGGGGGGAGGAGGGAATGGACTGGACGGGAAGTGAACGGTGAGGGGAGAGAAGAGTGGGGAAGAGCCAAGCCCAAGCGCCGGAGGGGTGTGCTTCTGGCCGCCCAGTCATGGGCTTGACCTGGGCGGGAGGGGGGAGGGGCACGAGAGGAGGTGGGAGGGGAGAGGGGAGAGAGGCATGCTACTAGTGGGTGCGCTCGAGCCACATCTGACATCCTGCATTCGCACTGCCCACCCCCTTCCACTGCGCAAGACCCCTCCTGTTCGCGGAGTCGCGTGCAGAATGTGACGGGGAGGGCCAACCCCCTAATCCTTTCTCTCCTCCCCTGTACCCCTCTTGTGGATACTCCTTCTGCCCCTCTTCTTTTTCTTCTTGCAGCGTTCCTCTTCCTATTTTACTTTTTCGAACTCCTCCCATTCCGTACTCCCCCATGTCTTCTTGTTCATTCCCCCTCATCTTCCATGTCTCTTCCTCCTGCTCCTCCTCCTCCACCTCCTACTCTCGTTCTCCCGCACCCTTGTCGTCTTCTTCGCAGTTGCCCCCCCTCCTGCGGATGTTCTCTCGTTTTCTCCTTTGTGATCATATTCTTATCTCCTTTCTCGTACTTCTTCCTATACTGCACCTCCCATGTCTACGAGACAATCCTTCCCACTCCAACTCAATATTCAACCCTCTTCCACCTCCTCCTCCTCCGATTCGTTGCTCTCCTGCAGTTTCTTCATCTCGATGATCGTGCTCCTGCTTCTCCGCACTCCCCCAGTTCTTCTTGCTCACTCCTCTCAGCCATTCCCTCTCCACATCCCCACCTCCTCCCTTGATCCTTACCATTTCTCTCCTCCTCCCTCCTTGTAGTCGTGGCTCGAACGGTGCGACAACTGTCTCGAGGTTCGGGCCTTCTCTCGCGCCCGGCGCCATGATTAGCGCAGCCTGCGTCGGGGCCCAGCGCCGCGCACTGATGAAATTTCCTGTGGGGGCCCAGGCGGAATACAACCCTCCAAACCTCGGCCGTCCCGCTGCGTGCCCAGGCGCCGTCCCCCGCAGCTCCGGCCACGAGCCGACGAGCTGCGCCCTCGGCTCGGTGGCGGCATCCTCCTCCGAGCCCAGCGCGAGGACCAGGACGAGGCAGCGCGCACCCACCCGGCCGCCCACGCGGCGGATCCCGCCTGCCGGCGCACCTCCTCTCGACCCGCGACGGCGCCAGCCCGTGCAGCCGATGGAGGAGGAGGAGGAGGAGGAGGAGGAGGAGGAGGAGGAGGAGGAGGAGGAGGAGGAGGAGGAGGAGGAGGAGAGGAGGGGAGGAGGAGGAGGAGGAGGAGGAGGGAGAGGAGGAGGAGGAGGAGGAGGATGGATGGATGGACAGCGCCTTGAAAGGTCGGGAGGTGACAGCACCAAAAGCTTGGGGGGATCGACCCGAGTTAAACCGCCCTGGAGGCTCTTGCCTCTTCTTTAGCTTTAATTCTGGCGACCAGGGACGCCATTCGCTGCTCATAAGTGGGGGCCGAGGGAGAGTCCGCAAATGCTCGCGGGACTGAGGTAACACACAGCTCGGGCTTATCATCCGACTCAAGGGCAACATCGAGCCTTGACACAGGCAACGCCTTCTCAATCAAGGCCTTGATCTTCATGTTGGGGCCAAGCCCACGACGAAAACGGCTCAGGACGTCCAGTCCTTTCCGCGTTGGCTTACCACAGACCTCAGCGAGCTTTAGGGCTCTACCCTGGGACCAACCCCCACATTTCAAACACAGAATCTGCTGCTCACGGCAGGGGCCCAGAACCAGGTCCGACCGAGGAGCATCAAGAACCGAGCCCGACACGGCGACGAGTTGGTGCCCAAGGGGATCGCGCAGCAGCTTCTGGAGAGCAGGAGGCGGTCCCCTGCACCCGAAAATGGGCCGATCGGGTCGATCACACACCGTCCAACAATAACGACACTGCATGCCCAGTTCGGTTCTCCTCCAGAGGTGCCAGGTCTTCTGCTGACGACTACGACCCTGGGTTGTGAAAGCAGCTCGCTTCCAACGCACCTCATTTTTGAAGAGGGGTAAAACTTCGGAAGCAAGCTTTATAAACGCATTGGCTCGATTTTGGTACAGCTCAACGTGGTCCAAAAAGGTGGGCAGGGGCCGAGGATGGCCCTCAAGGGCCTTCTTGGCATGCTCATCCACAGCACGATTCGCAAAACCAAACCTACGATCATCACCTTCCAAGTCCTCAAGGGCAGAGAGCTCTCGATGGGCCTTTACATGGAAGGTGGACAGAAATTCAGTGCCTGCTAGCTCATGGGCAAACCGCCTCGCACCAGCAAATTTATTGGAACCACTCAGCTGTTTCCAGAGGGGCCTCTGCGTCTGACAAATCACAGCTTTACAATCGAGGGCCAACGACGTGGGGCGATCTGAAACTTGCCCGACCAGGGCCGCCCCCGCATGCTCGGCCATCGCAGGGGTCTGGGGGAGACCGCCAGGAACAATGCCCCTCAAGATGGCAAGAAGCGATTCGCTGCCTGGCTCCATGAGGGCGATCGCCCACGAGGCACGATGGAGACAGCGGAGGGCCTGCTTCGTGCAGCTGCCGTCGGAGGCCATCTCAAGCTCGATCACATCACCTGCAAGCGTGGCGAGCTCCTCAGGCTGCATATTCAAATCCTGACCTGCGCCGTCGAGGATGTCACAATGAGCGTGGGTGGCTGGAGGGGGCACATCTTCATCCGAGAACGTGAACAAACCACGAGTA